TTTACCATCGGATCTGTCAACTAGTATGCCATACAATTTTTCTTCTTACTTTAATTTGTCCTAATGTCTATAAAGGAATGTTTACTATCATGTACAAACCCAAAAAAAGTGAAATAAAAGAAAGAGACGACAATTAATTTAACGTCTAGATTGACACGTCAAAATCAGATCAATGATCAATATCAATCATTTCTCTTAAGTTGATAATACTTGATAAAAGCTCTTTCTTTTCTTTTTTTTTTTACTATCGTAAAAAACGAAGTAGCTAGAGCAAACTATTTATTAAAAGTAAAAGAAACAAAAGGGCTTGAGTATATTTTATCAGACGATATCTACCTGCTTTTGTTGACATTTAACGTTCCATTTCGAATAAAACACAAGAAAAGAAAGAAAAAAATTTTCATGAAAAAAAAAAAAAAAAAAGTATGTTTTTAAAGCAAATATTTTCTTTTGAAGACTTCTATGACAAATATATATATATGAAAGAAATACAATGAAGATTAAATATGAAATTTGATTGAATTATTTCAAAGTAAAAAATAAGTATATTTTTATTTTAAGTTTGAAAAATTAAAAAAACAGATGTCGTTAAATATATATTTGATTGGCTTATAAGAACATTCATAAAAAACCAACCGAAGAAAATCCTCTGTTTTAATAAATCAAGAATTAGTGAATATTTTAAGATACATATTTATGCAAATCTATATATTTTATATTGAAAATTTTATAGATTAAAAATGATTCAATTTCATATAGATATTCTTCAAAATCTTCAACAAGCGATTTTTATCTTTAATATTCCACGTTCAGCGTAAGTTAAATTTTAATAATCGATAAATTTCGTGTTTGATTCATAAACATCTAATTTTAACAAAGTTTATTTTTTAATAAATATCCTTAGGATGTTTCTTTATTTTAAATATGAATTATATAAATTAGAAATCTTGATTATAGAAATAGAATTTAGAGTCGTAAAGTAGCCTTTAAGAATTATCAGTTATGATTGATATGGAAGTCTAATATTTCTGCATGAAGACTAGTAGATAGAATAATTCTCACGAATGATATATAAACTTGTTAAGAAAAGAACGAATAACTTATAATACAAAAATATCCTCATACTATTGATACTTACGTAATAACGAGACTATTGATGTAATCGAATTATGTTGAAATTGAAAGTATAGAATTGAGTGTTTTGTTACTTTTATCTTCTTTATAACAATAATAGATTGAAAATAAAACGGACTGCGTATCTTCACTGTATAAATATATTAGAGTATATACGTATGTAAAAACATGAATTGTATAGATTTTTCTCAATTATATAAAAAAAAAATATATAGGATATTATTTTCGCTATGAGATGTTTTTAAAAACCTCAATATGGACAAAAAAAAATGAAATTATTAATTATATTACAAATTTATCAACTAAACCAGAGTGAAAGACAAGTAACATAAGATATTGAATCGAATTTATACATTTGATACAGAATTTCGTTGAAATTATTTGAAATTAATAATCAACTGATTGACGAGTTTCTCATGAATAAATTAAAAAATTGATACGTTATATAAGGAAATTGCGAACTACAATCTAATATCGCTTTCTATATTTGATATTGGATTCAGACAATGTTAAATAAATTCTATAGATATAGAATTGGTTGTAGACATGCCTTCTGATTGTTTGAAGCATTGCTTCATTTCACAATTAATCTAAAAGAAATTATTCCCTTGTGAATGCATGAAATGCTTATGATATTAAGACCGAGGTAGAATCAATCAGCAATTTGCCCGACGTGATTTAATGATTTATATCGTGTTTTAGAGTTTTAATTGCATCTGAAATTCTGTATAAATTACGTCGATAGAATTAATTTGAAAAGGGCTATATTAAACTGATTTAAGAATAATGAGGTTAGCAAGTGCAAAAGCAAGAAATTCGTTTACGATTTGCGAAAATGTACATTTTTCGGTTTATTAGATTTGTTTCGATCACTGCGTGTATTTTTTTGATAATAGAAGTCATATCACCAACTCAACACAGAAAATCATAATCATAAAAAAGTCATAAATACTTCTTGATTCTCTATTTGGTATTGATATAAACAGCGAGATTTGCAACAAAACCAAATCTCGCGAAAAAAAAGTCATGTAAATTGTTGAAATAGGCTTTGATTCTTTAATATGAATGATTTTCTTCACATAAACTTTGAATTGAAATGGTGCTTCAAACTATTGAAAAGCGTGTCTACGACCGATTCTATTCACAGAAATCATTTAACATCGTCGGAACCTGGCATCAAATATAGAAAGTAATATTAGATCGGAGTTAACAAATTCTCTAAATAATGCGTCAATTTCTTAAGCTATTCACAGAAAAATTGTTTCGAATTATATATTCTAAGATGAGAAAATCGTTAATCAATTAACTGTTATTTACTATGTAATTGATTTCAAATAGCTTCAACAGAAGATATATTCTGCCACTACCATTTGCTAGTTGTGTTATCAACGCCAATAGCAATATTTATACTAGTATGCAAGTCACTTTTTTTTCGAAAAATAAGACATAATAGAAAATATTTGTAAGCTATAAGGAATAAAGAATAACTCTGAAGTCAAACATAAAATCATATGTAATGCATTATCAAAATGATATTAAATACGATTTAAATCACCATTTACATTATAATGACTTCATTAAGACAGTATTTGACAAAATATGCTCGTCATATAATTAATGAATAATAACATAATATATTTAATTGACAACGAACGACACATTTATACTTATCGAATATATTGTACGCTGGATATTGAATATTAGTTTGACAAAAAAAAAAAAAAAAGAAATGTTTAATAATACTAATAACCATGGTTCATGGTAATTTTGATTCATTAACATACGGCAAGTGAACCAGCAATTTGGCGCATTTCAATTTTTTTTTAATCTGTTAAAGATAAAAAAAAAAATGACAATAATGTCAATAACTGATAGATAAATGTCTTCGATATCTATTCATATGATATAATATGATCTTTTAATGTTTAATTCCACAATCTTTTCTTCCATCAAGATATAATAAGCATATGATTGTCATATTCAGTAAGATGAACACGTAGCATATTCTTTCCTATAGTTCAACGCCATCAAAATAAGCATTAAACGATCAATTTTCATAACTTTTATGACAACTATTGTCCTCGAATGTTATTTTTCTAGCATTGACACAAATATGATATTGTTGTCAGTTAAATATCAGAGAATCATTATAATCGGTTTACAGCGAATATATTTCATGTAATTTCATTTCATCAATATTTAACTAAGATACATGATGATAAACAGAAATAGATATAGAGATTAAACTTATTATTAATTTTTCATAAACTACATGGTTTAAACCGATCCATCATTGAATATGAAACAGGAATGTAATTTCTAATTTTCATGATTTACAGATTTTTTTCTTAGCTAAGTATTTTATTCAATTTTCTTTATAGTGATTGTAGTATTCAAACTGAGCAATGTGTTATCGAAGATGAAGAACAACATTGGCAAACTATAATTCACTTCAACAATCTAATCATAGATGTAAACAAAGGTACTGAAGTTGTATCACCTGTGACAACTACAAATGCAACTAGAGATGGACAAATTCATCGAACATTCAAGTAGGTCGTATTGATTTTATAATATATGTCTTATTTTTTTTCTTTATTTAGATTTCCATTTCTTCGATTACCGGTCATAACTGACAATAAAAACTATGATTTAAACAATATCACATGTGCTAAATGTCAATCACCGTTGAAGATCATTGCTGAAAAGTATAGTTTATTCCATTTTCAAACAAAAATATTTATTTCATTTTTCATCATAGTCAAACTTATAAAATTGTTCAACAACAAAATGCTAATGTTGATGATATAAATGAAGTTATGTATTGTCATCGATTTTGTGAAGCTCATCAACATGATCATAAACATCATCATCATCAATATCAGTTACCTGTTCCTCTTGATCTTCATTCCGAATTGATTGTACTTGAAACTATCGAATATTTTATTATTGCAAAAGAATATTCATCTTCAGATTTAATTCATAATGAACTTGTTCAATGCAATCATTGTTCTTCGTGTCTTGGATCATTCGGTATGTTAAATTCGACGTTTTTCATTAATTGAAATCTTGATTTAAATGAAAAAAAATGTTTTTATTAGTTTAATTTAAGTTTTTGCGATCGTTATATATATTTATTTATTTCTATTTAGATACTCAAAAGAATCTTGTTTCCTTCAACAAATGTTCACTTTTACCTTTTTCAAACGATTATCTATCAACATGTTTTCGTCACTGTGAACCAGGTCGATATATAATTAAAGTACCAAAATCTAATGATTCAATGTTTCTTGTTTGGATCTTACCTAATCAAATACTATCTGGAAATGCAATCATTGATTCATCAAAGAATTCTACTCAACTTGATTTTTATCGAATGCGAAAAGTTCTCTTTACTCATGTAACGTCATCGGATAATCAAATATTTAATGAATGGAAACGAGATTTTTCTGTAACAACTCTTCTTGTTAATCATTTCTGTCTTGATCATTTATCAATAGCATTTAAACAAACAATAGAAACATTTCCTAATACATTCAATAGTAAAGAACCATTTCAATCAGTAACTATTTCTTGTTAAAAATCATTATTACAAAATAAAAAACTAAAGAATAGATAATTATCTATATGTCTTATTTGTGTATATATGTATCAAACGAAAAAAAGTCAGACAGTATATTGTCTTCAACGATTAATCCTTTGTTTGTATCAAGCAGTATAAGTAATAACAAATGCGAAATGTTAATAAGACCAAACAGCAATTAGTTGACGATCGAGTAGAACGAACAAAAGAAAAGAAATAATGATATCTGTCTAGTTCATTCGTCAATATAGATACAAGAGCGAATGATTTGACACAAATAACTATGGAATCAAACGATAGTCATACGAAAGATTGTTCTACTATATATCGTTTTCAATTTGCAAGTATAGCTTTTTTATGTAGTGTTTATCTTTCATTTACATTTCATTCAAATATATGGTCACTTTATACACAACCATTTACACCAGTTAATTGTTCCATGAATAAAAATCCAGTTATTTCTGGATTAACATGGAACACTCCAACAAGATCAATACTTCCAATTCTAATAAAAAATTATAATCGATCAGAATGTTGTCCTTGTAGAGAAATTCTTAATGGGAATATTAATGATAAACATTTATGGACTCGTTGTAGATCATGGATGGCAAATATAAATGAATTAGAAGTACGAAAAGCAACTATTATCGATGAAGTAAGTTTAATATCAATACTCAAAAGTGTACTATCATAAATGATAAAACACAAAAAAAAATAACAGGATAAAAATGTTCACTCTGTGCTCTATCCTATAGGATCTGGCAAGGTGACGAAGTTTTCTGACAAGCTTTTGTTAGAGACAATCACTTAAGTTAAGTAACATTATCTATACCTAGCTTTCGTCCTCGATTAATGAAAACGATCATATAACATGTCTACACTCAAATCTTATATTACTTTATTTTCATTTTCACTTAACCTTGCAAGTTTTATTTGAGATGAAAACATTGATTCAAGGTTTTGTTGATGTATCCTTCATCAGTTATAGTTGATGTTTTTATCAGTTGTAATACACATAAATATGGTCATTCAAATAAATCATAACATTTGAAGAACCATAATTAAATGTTTTATGACAAATACGCGACACATTTACATAACCTTGAATTTGTTTGCATTTTTTATTACTGAAAAACCAAATGCTTTCTAAAATACAGGTTTTTGTCCTATCCTGTTAGAAGCCATGATTTGGACGTTGATTATTTACTTATTTAAAAAATCTTATTTCTTTTCATAGTGGAATTTAGCTTGTGGAGAAGAAAATCGCAAAAATCTTATGATAGGTTCAATATCATTTTTAATTGCTGAGATAATTGGTGTTATAATAATTGGAATTTTAGCTGATCATTATGGAAGAAAACTAATGCTTCTAATGTGCCTTTATATTCCGGTGGTATGTTTTAAGAAAAATACTTTTTCTTTTTTGTTTTTTCAAAGTTTTTTTTTTTTTTAGCTTTTCGGATCGTTAGCTGCTTTTACTACAACTTATATTCTATTTCTTATTCTTCGTTGGCCTGTAGGATTTTTAAATAGAGTTAGTTGATGTTAAATTCAATTGATAGAATAATAATTATAAATTTTTGTTTTTTTTTGTACAAAATCTTAGGGTCTTCTTTTACTTGTTTTTATCATGGTTATTGAATCATGTGAATATAAACATCGAGCACAAGTTGGTTGTCTTCTTCTTGCTTCTATACCTATATTTGGTATTATTATTGGTGTTACTTATTTTTTTCTATTAGATTGGCGTCATATGCAATTACTTGGTATTATTTTAAATATCGAGTTATTTTGTAAAGCTTATTCTTTAAATTTTTTAGGTTCATTAATCACTACTTTATCTCTTTGTTATCCATGGTAAAGAAAAAAAGAATTTTTGAAATTATATAAATTTAAAAATTTAGGTTAATACCAGAATCTCGTCGATGGTATGTGAATAGTAATCGTATATCACGTGTAAATAAAATTTTACAATTATCGTCAAATAAACAAACACCAACATTAAGTTTAAATAAAGTTGGTTCACCAGCACCAATAACTATGATTTATAATAAACCAATATTATCACCAAATACTCGTCGTGTTCAAACAGGTTCAATATCATGTTTATTAATAAATCAACAACTTCGTACAATTACTTGTTGTTTATTTATACTCTGGTTTTTTTAAATAATTTATTAAAATGATTTGTTCTTGGTATATTTTTTTTGCTCTATTTGAAGGTTTCTGTCATCATTTTGCTATCAATGTATATTTTTTCCATCAATACTTTCACATCCAACTATAAATTATGTTTTAATGAATGCTACTGAATTTTTTTCATTTATTATTGCACTTATTGTTGCTTATAAGTAAGTTTTATGAATCAAATAATAGAATAGAATATATGATTAAAATATGATAGAATTGGTCGTCGAGCTCCATTATCTGTACTGATTTTAATTAGTGGTCTTTCTTCTGTTGCATTAGCAATTGCATTACTTGAAACAGGTTTGATTAAAGGACAAAAAAAACAAAAAAATTATTATTTTATAATTAACTTTATTTTAAAAACAGGACATACATGGCTTGAAACAATATTATCTTTTGTTGCTCGTATTTGTTTACGAACTTGTTATTGTCTTTTAATTTTATTTACAAGTGAACTTTATCCAACATCAATTAGGTAAATTTTTATTGTTTTTTTTTTTTTTTATATATGAATATTTGATTTGTTTCATAGAGCAACTGGTTTGGCTATTGGACTTTCTAGCGAAGTTATAGCACGAATTTCAGTTGAACTTCTTCTTTATGTATGTTGATTTATAAATTTAGTCGTTGTTTTTTTTTTCTGTCTATAACGTAAGAACTTTATACATTTGGTTTCATCTACGGACATAGATTATGTATGTAAGGTAGAGTTGTAATCGATCGATTCAAATCTAAATTTGATCTTTACAAAAATATGTTTGGATGTGCGTGTAGTTTCAGTAATACTTTTTAAAAAAGTGACATATACTTCAATTAAAGAACGATAAAAACTAACCGCACCGAACCAGTTACAATTCTGGTATAAGATACTTTTGCTACTGAAACTTCAACATTTTACCTCGATATTAGAATTCAGACTGATAGATTCTATTGAAATCTACTTATATCTTTAAACCTAATAATTTTCTAAGTCTATGAGATAAAATAAAATTTTATTGAATTTTTTTTATTTAATATAGTTTACTATTAATCGATTATTGCTTTTATTTATATCTGGTGGTATGTTATGTCTTAGTTGTTGTTTAATATTTCCATTACCTGAAACAATACTCTATGATATACCTGATTCAATAAATGATCTTCAATCAATGAAACATTCAATAGGAAATGAAAATGAAAATAAAAACTTACCACATAATTCTCATTATCATATGATTGATTCAAATACACTTACACTTCCTCGTCTATCAGAATCAAATACAATAACATCAGATCTTAATGATTTATCTTCATTACATCATAGAACAATTATAAGATCACAACAACAACAACAACAACAAGGCGATGGTGATGAAAAAAGTCTACCAATTCAATTACATTCAAATACATCAACAATAAAAGGTTTATCAAATCCATGTTATTTTGCATCATTAAATGATACAATTGATCAATACGATATTGAACAACAAGCAAATAATCGAGTAGTAATTAGTATTCGAGGTGCACAAAATAATAACAATAATAATAACAATAATGAAGAACAAAGTGAAAATACAAAGTTTTAAAAAAAAATGTATATATATATATATATTCATCATTCATGAAAAATATCTTTGTTGTATCATTTTTTTTTATTTATTATTATAATATAAAAGAATTTATCGAACATTGATAAATATGAAAGTTATAAATCAAACGTATTACATTCAACAAAAGCAGAACAAATATCTTGAAATTTTGATTTCTTGTGCTTTTATGGATTTATTTGATGATGTTTAGTTTGATCAGAATTCCCGATTGTATTTATTAATAAATGATTGAAGGAGTTCAAAATAAAAATATTTAAATCGATTCACATCAAAGAATACTATATAGGTTGAAAAAATCTGAATGTACTTAACCTTACGCAAAGGAGTACAATCGATCTATTGTCCATTGGTATACAATCGGTTCGTTTTGACATAAAAATAAAATTTGATGATAACGAGTATATCATACGAAGAAATTATCCTCGAATTAGGTTAGGACAGAATATACGCATTGATACAATACACTCATTATCACGAAACATTGCTGATTTATTATAACTACATATGAACTTCTATCATTATTCTCATATTGAAAATTTATTAAATAAAATATACTTAAAAATCTATCGAATTGGAAAAAAAATCAGTTAGAATAATAGTTAGCCAAATATTTCATCTCAAAAATGAAAACATTCTTATAGTCTATAGTTGAATTGCTTATGAGCAAAATGCAAACAAATTCAATGTATATGTCCAATAACTAGATCAATTGACACTTAGTGAAGACGTCAAACAGTTCAAATTCTTTTCTTTTTCTCTTTGAGAAAAAAAAATATATATCGAACCTAATCTACAACAGTCATTTCTCGTACAATTATTGTCAAGTAAAGATGTATATATAACAATACAATGAAAATAAAACAAAAAAAAGCTAAATATTTTGTGATTGTATGAAAGTTTAATAAAGAGAATGATAGATGAACATATATTCCGTAAGTAATTCAATATAAAACTGATTAATACTTGAAAAAAAATATTTGGTTCTCTGTAAATCACCTCTGCTTTCGAGTTCATTCGTATTATTCAATATATAAACTCGAACTCACGGGGTGGATATACAGCCAGATTAACGACATAAGATTATTAATTTTAATACTAAATGAATTGTTTACAATTGTTTGTTTTTAACGATGTTTTTTTAAATCATAGGTGGATACACTGAGTTTTTATTTATACAAATAAACTTCAAAAGTACTCTTCATATTTCTACCTCCTCGAGTCAAAAAAGCGGGAAAATGCTTTTTGTAGACTCCTCGTATTTCTATGGTTTTAAATAACTTGTTGCTTCTTTTCATAGAACTTCTTTATTCTCAAAAGTTGTAAAACATAAAGGAGATGAATATTTCACTAAGCACATCATATTTCAATGGTAGTAGTTATATTTACTGTTTAAATGAATTTCATCTGACAATGTGGCTCTGTTTCTATATACAAAAAAAAGACATTATGCAGTGATTATTCTCTAATTGCTTAATTTTCTTGGATGTTATTCACATGATCACCTTCTGCACATTGGTTGATCAATATAGCTGCCGTATTTAGACTCAAAGTGATCGATACATCGCTTTGATTTTGTAATATGTAATGTCAAACAAACTGAATGTTGGGTCAACAAAGTAATCTTGACATGCTTCAAAGCTTTTTTCTTTTATCTGATTTTATAGACAAAAAGAACTACTAGAAAAATGAGTTTCCAGCAACTTATAGCATCAGTAGATTGCTCCAAGACGATTCGCTACTATCTGACCAATAATTTTGATGATCAGTGATTTAGAAAAGATGGATCAATCTCATGAGATTTACAGTCACGAGATTTGATACTATTGAATTTCTATTTATGAACATGTTTCAAAACAAATGTCTATAAAACGATTATTAAAGAACTGAACACTGTACAGATCGATAGCTTTGAAGAGCGATTTTTTCAAGTTTGCTTGTGTAATTAAAAACCTGGCGTATCGACCTATCATTAAAAAAAAATTAGTCGATAAAGTTGAATCGCAGAGTAAAGATACACTGGAAAATTTTTGAGAAAAGATTTTTGCGACATCTTGTAGATAACTGAGATTGATGAACACTTCATGCAATGGAAAAATAAATTCATCAACAATTACATTTGTCGAACAAAATTGAACAAGTGATAAGATCTTCAGTATATATCAATATCATGTGAACAAATAAAAAATATTACACAATTGAATAATATTGATAATCATAATAGATTTTCAATGACAACGGTATAATAAAAAGCAATTGATTCAATTTATCATACATCGGTTGTAGAAAATGACATTTACTTAATAGCACAATAGATTATTCTGGCGTTGTATATAATCAGATTGTGAAGTAGAAAATTCCGATAATAATAATTGACTGAAAATTTCTTTACTTTATGTCAAAAAATTTCATATGAAATTGATTTTGATTACTAAGATAATAGAAATCATGACAATTATTGACGATTAAAATTAGTTCAACAGTAGAACATAAACTAACAATACTTTCTCATAATAGGAAATGCAATTAATATAATCGAATGATACTATCGTGTCTATTATTACTCTAAGAATTATTACTGAATTCACTCTCACCGATCCTATAGGTTCTCATTCTAAATGGTTAGAAAATGATAATTTTCATTATATTATTCCATTAGTACAGCGTATCAAACTAACCATTAATCATCTTTATGCTCCTTTTAATAAAATATAATTGATATATTATATTTTACACCTAATATTCATACATTGATAATTAAATGTTTATCAGTTACTATAGGAGATTCTTTTATACTACAACGCAATAAAAGATTTCAATTGGTGTTGAGTAAAAATAAAATAAAAAATATCACTATTTTATGTGATTATTCATTGTGGAAGATCAAACTACTTATCAATCGTTGTCCTAGACTGGAACATCTTACTCTCGGCTTTTCTTTTGTGGATCATGAACCAATTTTGTAAACTCGTATCGTCAGAAACTAAAAAATACTACTTGTCATTTATCTTCATTATCTATTTTCATATCGAAAAATAATCGTGGCTGCAATGTGAAGAAGGCAGATTGAATTAAAAAAATCATTGAATAACTCTATTCAATAAAAGTCTGCGATCGAATGCTTTTTATATTGTGGTGACATTTATTATTAATAACATCTTTTCTGTCTGCTTGTTAATCAATTTTAAATAAAATGAACTGCTAATATCGTTGTATTATATATTTCTAAGACATTACTTTTAGTCATATATAAATAGTAATGTTTTTGGACCACTATGAAGATTAAGAATAGGATGAGATTACGTGGGTGTGTGTGAGTATAGTTGTAGGTGCTGTTCATAGGTCATTCACTACCTATGCCCATCCTCTTTATTGGTATGCACACCCACACTCAAATATTTCCCAATTCTATAATTTATCACTTGAATAAACAGTTTAGTCCTTTAAGGTGATCTCCTTTCCGAACCCGAAATTTTTCGTTTTTCATTTTTTATGCTTAGTATGTGGATTTAAATGCCCTCTATCTAATGAACACATTTTAAGAAGGCAAAACCACCTTTTCGAATGTGAAAAACTCGAAAAACAACTCAATTTTATGCTAAAAAAGCCAAAAAATGCAATTGTTGTTTTCGTTTTTCTCAAAACCAGATTTTTAAATAAAAAATTGAAGTTTTCCCCTCTTTTCTCCTAACTGGTAAGACTGATTGGGCTCAAACTTTTTTTATGAGTACTTCGATGAGATTGGGGTGCATGTTTTTTTTTCTCTTGAAAATATTATACCTATGAAACTTGGCAGGTATTACAAAATTAGCACCCTCCGAAAAAAAGTTTTTTTTGATGGTTTTTTTAATAGTGCCTCCAGTGTTTTGCTTCTCCTGGACCTCAGGAACAATAATTTTTAAAGAAAAAAAAAATACGCACCCAGATTTGTTCCTAGTCGCTGCAGAAAAAATTTCAATCCAAAAGAACGTAGTATGACCGTTTGCTGAGAGGAAAACTTTAGGTCATTTTTTACCCTTGGCCTTCCAAAGTATCCCTGAAGAAAGCATTTGGAATTCTGGGTCTACGACAAACTTTATTCTACTCATCGAGATCTATCTACCCTAAAATTTTCACCTAACCGTTCTCAAGAAGTATCGGAAAGGTGTCCTCTTAAGTACTAGCGTATTGAATTAAGGAGACATTTTTTGAAATTTCTTAATTTTCGAATAATTCATGAACACGGAATGATATCGAGATATTGCTTTCTTAATAACATAGAAGACATTATGGTTCATACATCCATGGAAATATCATGACCAGATCAACATCAATCGCGTAGTCAGCTACAATACTGATTAAAGGAAAAAAGAACTAAAAACTGAAAGGACTTTCAATAGATTCAAACGCAAAGAGGAATAGATCATCTCCAAGGAAAACATCATTTAATATAAAAAATGACAAGAAGCCATATCTTTCAATTATTGGCAATCAAATATGAACTCTAAAAGAAATTATTTTTATGACTATCATAAGCATATTTTCTTAAGTCAATGAAATTCTTTTTTTTATTCACTTTTATGTATTTCTGTATATATATTTGTAAACAGTACCACATTGATAAAAACTTTGTAAAAATTTTGTCAAGGTCGTTTTTTACTTTTTCTTTATAAAGAATTACTCTCTCAGTATTTTGTGAATATTCCTCTTAGTTTTTGGTGATTTAACTTGAGTTTTTTTTTCAAAAGATAGTCTATGCAATTCTCTACAAAATTCAATACAAACAGTTCTTAGAAAGAATAACTGGAAAACTATATCTAATCAGCAGTATCATACTTCAAAAAGAATCACTTTGACAGACACTTTTTAAAAAGAACTATTTCTCTTCTCTTGACGAAACAACTTTCAGCCTATTGTGAGTTCCCCTTTTAAAGAGCTATTCTCTATGAGATTTCGCAGAGAATTGCATAGGGTATTTTTGAAAAAAAAAACTCAAGTCA